TGAAAAAAATAATATGTTTGAGAATAACTTTTTAGTTTCTTATAAAAAAAACATATGAAAAATAGAGTGAAAGGAGAAAAAGCCTTTGACTTTTTTGTATGAGTAAATTTTTTTTTGACTTCTTGATTTTTTTTAATGACTTCTTGATTTTTAAATTAAAATAGCCTATTTCCAAACGAACCCTAATAATTTTTTGACTTTTTAACTAAAATAGTCAATTGTCAAACAAAATAGAAACTTTCCAATTCAAAATGAATGACTTGGGAGACATTACATAGTATGTTTAAGCGAATTAAAATTGGAAACTTCACAACTAGTATCATTAAAATGGTGAATGACTTGGGAGACATTACAAAGTATCTTTAAGCGAATTAAAATTGGAAACTTCGCGTCTAGTATCATTAAAAAATTTAGAATCAAAACTAATCATATGGTGAATGACTTTGGGGACATTACAAAGTATGTTTAAGCGAATTAAAATTGAAAAATCTGCAAATAGTATCATTAAAAAATTTAGAATCAAACTAATGGTGATTGGTTCACATTTTCTCTTGAATCTTTATATTTTTTTAATTTTATAACAGCATGTGATATGTGTCTATTTGTAGCTTTTTCCATAATATGTTTTTATGCATCGTACTATAATACACAGTGCATTATATGCAAGTTAATGTGATCTAAATTAGTCACAAATTGTTTGGTTACGGCCACAATGGTCACACATTTTCTCTTGAATCTTTATATTTTTTTAATTTTATAACAGCATGTGATATGTGTCTATTTGTAGCTTTTTCCATAATATTTTTTTATGCGTCGTACTATAATACACAGTGCATAATATGTGAATTAATGTGGTAAACGTTACCAAACACACCTTTGGTTACGGCCACAATGGTCAAATTATAATTGATTATGATTGTTTGTGGTCTTTAGCTTATGTTCTAAAGTGGTAGTGGCTATGATTCCATTGTGGTAGTTTTATTAGGAGACCAACTCCTTTCATCATGTAAGCTGTCATTAAGAAATCATCCCAAAAATTCAAAATAAGTGACCTTTAGAGACAAAAAAATTGAAAATGTCCCTAATAAATACAATTTTGTGCCAAAAAAGTATACTTTTTGAAACAAATTATTGTCTGAATGATGGTAGTTATTACTAAATGTCTAATTTTATTACTAAAAATACAAACAGTTTTTGCAACTAAAATATTTAGTTTCTAAAAAGAAATTTTGTCCTAATATTTTTGTCTTTAAAACTTTAATTTATTGTAGTGGAACATATTTATTGTTTGGAATTCAATGTTTAAAAACAATATGCACTTTTTTAATGAAGTGTGTATAATAAAATTTTCCATTCTAATACATTTGAAAATATAAAATGATATCTTGCAATGGAAGTGGCTCAAATTTGACTAATAACTCTATAGCTGTATTCATATGTGCCTTGAACTAACTGAATAATTCAAATAATTCACATTTCTTCATTCATCTCACGTCATTCATGCATTATAGTAACAAATCACAAGAAATTTATTTATTTCTTCAAAGAACCTAAGGAACAAACAAAGGATAACTTTAAGGCACACGATGATATATTGTTTTTGTTGGGAATTTATTGGAGAGGGAAAGCAGAAAATAAATTATTTGAATGAGCGTTTTGTAAATGCAGATGTCTTTAGCTTGCCTTCTGCTATATCTTCCTGGTTTACCTAATGATTTGGTTTGCTAGTGACAGTATTTGGAAATATATTCTACAAATATTGTAATTTCTCAAAAATATAAAAAACAATAATAATAATTATTATTGTTATTATTATTATTATTATTATTGAAGGGGAATTAAACTTTATCCATTTGTTTTGGGACCAATTCCAGGGTCACTTGCGAACGCCTTTGCTTTTTGGCATTTCACATCTGCAACAACCATATAGATTGCCCAAAAACACAATTACCCAATTAAAACCCACTGTGTTTGATATCAAAGCAAAATAGAATTCCAAAATAAAATAATTATTATGTATAATAGAATCTAGCTAATATTTGATGCCCGAGAAAAAAAAAATTATTACTAGACATAAAAGTAGTAAAATCACAATAATAAAAATACGTGCGATCAATTACCTTTGTGTTTAGTGGTAAAAAATGGTGGGCGCTTGGCCCGAAGTCTAAATTTTCAAGTTTTTATGATAATTGCCCCAAATTTTATTTTTTTCTGTCCATAAGGACAACAACAATTTAAAAAATCAAAATACATATATATGTCCATGTGTCCACCCACTACAGGAAAACTGGGCTTAAAAGACGGAAGCATTTGCGACGGCACAACTTGCGGTCACGAAAAAGGAGAGTATTTGCGACGGTAAAAAATGCTGCCGCAAAAAGGGAGAGTATTTGCTACGGTAAAAAATGCTATCACGAAAAAGGAGAGTATTTGCGACGACAGAAATTGATGTTGCAAAAAAAAGGAGAGTATTTGCGATGGCAAATATTGCTGTCGCGAAAAAATAGAGTTTTTGCGACAGCACCAGCTGCAGTCGCAAAAAAAAAAGTGAGTTTTTTGCGACTGTAATAGGTACTGTTGCAAAAAAAAAAAAATAGTGTAGTTTTGAGACAGCTTCATATATATATAGTCACAAAATGGTTTGAATAAATGTAACAGGATTTTTCTATCACAAAAAAAATTAAAAAAAAACGACGCCGTCTTACTCTTTTGATATAACATTTCTCTTTTCACCAATTTTTTCTTCTTCTTGTCTCTCTCTGTCTCTGTCTCTGTCTCTCTCTCTCTCTTCTTTTTCTCTCACTCACTCATCAATCTTCTCTGCCTGTCTGTCTCTCTCTCTATGTCTCTCTCTCATCTCTCTTCTCTCTCTGTCTCTCTTCTCTCTCTCTTTCATTTCTCTTCTCTCTCTGTCTGTCTCGCTCATCTCTCTTTTCTCTATCTCTCTCTATGTTTCTCTCGCTCATCTCTCTTCTCTCTGTGTCTCTCTCTTTTTCTATGTCTCTTTCTCATTCATCTCTTTTCACTCTCTTTGTCTCTCTTTGTCTATCTCTCACTCATCTTTTGTTTCTCTCTCTTTTTTTGTCTTTCTCTCTCTATCTCTTTCTCTCTTTCTTTCAGACTCATCACTATCCTCTCTCTCTTTCTCTCTTTGTCTGTCTGTCTATTTGTCTGTCACTCTTTCTCTCTTCCCCATTGTGTTCGCCTTGCTCACTTTCTCCCTCATCTCTTCTCTATTTACCGAGCTCCCTCTCGATTTATCGATCCACTGTAAGAAAATGCACTTTTAGCGACCACTTCGTCTCTCTCTCACTCATCACTCTGCCTCTATCCCTCTGTCTCTCTTTTTTTTTTTTTATCTCTCTTCTCTATCTGTCTCTCACTCATCTCTCTCTCACTACCCATCTCCTCCACCACCTTCACCACTATTGCAAATGTCACTCCACTACTACCATTGTTGCCACTCCACCTCTATGACTACCATTACTACCACCATCGTCACCACTCTACCACAACCACCACTACTGCCACTACTACTACCATTACCTCTCATCTACCATCGCCACTCTATCATCTCTACCACTACCACAACTTCACTACTAATCTCCTTCGTCGCCGCCGCCGCCGCCGCCGCCGCCACCACCACCATCAGCTCTTATCCACCACCTTCGCTACTACTGCCACTTCCTCTGAAACTTGATTCAAATTTATTTTTTAAAGACTAAAAATTAGTTTCATGAAAAAATTTAAAAAATCAAAACTACCATACTTGTCAATTTTATATAATTTTACGAAGGATATGATCAGCTTGTTTGGTTTAGATTTTCAGTATTTATTTTTCAGGAAATTGAAATTTTTTATTATGTGTGCTTTTTTTATTTTTATTTTATGTCTTCACTAATTTTTTTTAATATTCTAAGCATTTTTTTTTCAATTTTTAAATACACCACACATCAATACACTTTAAAAATATAATATTTGTGAAAAAAAATATTTATAAAATTCACTAAATACTAAATATATATATATATATATATATATGAAAATTTAGTGCATTTTTCGTATTCTTGTGCATTTATTGATTTTTAAAAAAATTTTGGACAAATATTTTACTTTTTAGATACATCTAAGTAAGGTGCATCTAAAAATATAAAAAAATAAAAATTACTTAAAATTTTAAAAATTCACTAAAAATTAAAATAAAAAACATGAAAAAAAACTCAATTTTTAAAAAATTAAATCAAAAAAATCAAAATCAAACAATTTTTAAAAATTCAAAAAAGAAAATCAACCAAATAGGATCTCAATTTTTTACCTCCCTTCCAAATTTCCCAATATTCAAATTTCCCACAAAACCCTATCTCTGTGATTTCATTTTCCCTCTCTTTCTTTTCAGGCTCAACTCTAATGTCTTTCTTTGTGCGATTCATCATTTTCCCAAGTTCTCCCTACCCCACCTTCACGCAACTCATCTTCGTGCGATTCGCCGATGAGCATGGAAACTATTTCCCATCATCCATGGAAACAATTCGTCTCCAGGTTGGAATCACCAATTTTTGATCACTGAATCACTCAAGTAGAACCTGCAAAGAAACCGATTCACTCCATCTCAAACCCTTCTTTCCCGCCCAAACCCTCTTCTCCAAACCTTTCTCTCCTTATTCTCTCACTCATCTCCGCCACTTCCATTCTCTCACCAAAGCCACCGATCCTCACCACCACCATCATGATCATCACCACGGTCACAACCACCATCACCAGCACGATCACGGTGGCCATGCCAAGCTGAGTAGGGCACATGAAGCGTTTCTTTGATTCGCCGAAATGATTAGGTGGACCGATTTAGCGGACTTCTTGCGGGAACACTTGGAGTTGTGTTGTTGTGCCACGGCTCTGTTTATTGTTGTCGCAGCTTGTACCTACTTGCTTCCGAAGCCGGCTATGAAGCCTCTGCAACGTGTTTTCATTCTCATTGTTTTCCCTCTCGTTAGGGTATGAGTATTCTCTCCCAATTTTTCCTAATTTTGATTTTGGATTGATAAACTGATATAATTTCATACTCAATTGGCCTAAAGATGAAGAGCAAAATTTGATGGGTAAGGTGACAATTTTTGTTATTTTGGGTTAGATTTGCCCATGAAATTGGACTAATATGAATGTAACGGAGGAATATATCAAGAGGGAGTGAATAATTTTTATTTTATTTTATTTTTTTAAATTGCTATTAATGCCTGCTATGTCTTATGGTATAGGGCCTTAAGCAGCTAAGAAGCAATATGTTCAAATGATGATTGAAACTAAAATGAGAATGTTGAGATGAATGGGTGGTGTTATTAGAAAAGATAGACTAAGAAATGAATTCACTGGCAGAAATTACCAATTGAAGATAAAATGAAAAAAAAAAAAAAAAATTGATTGACATGGTATGGTCATGTGTGAAACAGACCAACGTTGATCCTATTGCAAAGGTAATTGATGATCTCATAGTTTTAATATTGTGGTTGTGGGCCCAAGGTTTTATTTATGTGTTTTTGATAGCTATTTTTCAGCCCTCTACTGTTTCATGGTTCTTTAGTGTATAGAGCCAGAGCAGTGAATTTTTTTTTTTTGTTGAGTATTTTCAATTTTAGCAGTTCATATTTTAGCATTTACTTATAATTTGTTTGTTTCCTTAATTTGATTGGACCCTAGACTACATTTAGCAGCATGGTCTGGACAGGCACATGCGGTAAGCTATCTGTGCAAGAACAAGGCATATGTTGGTGCTGTTGCTATGGATGACATGGGCGCTTCAAGAGAGTAAGCGTAAAATGACCAATGCGACCAGAGGTGGTAAGCTATATAAAATTGATGAATTTTACGTTTTATCAAATTTATATATATATACATATGGAAATTATTAACACATTATACTAAATATGTGCAGAAGCATTTTACCCTCAATTAAAGGAAAACTGTTGTTGGCTAATTATTTGTACGTGGCTACTCAACTTTAGATAGAAGTGTACAATTTTGTCAAGGCAACTGATGGGCCTTTATAAATATATTAATCGACTTTCATATCATTAAAGAAATTGAGGTGAAGGTGGCCTAGATGTAGATGTATATGCTATTTTTGCACAATCTTACAAGGTAAGAAATCCGTCATGGAATATTTTTAATAGATCACACATGCAATTAATGTATTTTCTTCTTAATGCCCTACCAGTTAGTATTTTATGGAAAATATTTTTATTTTGGGGTTCACAATGTTCATATTTAAGATCGAAGAAGAAGAACGAAAACTTGAATCAGCTATTGAAGAAACAGAAAAGCAGTGTGCTCAAATGACTGCTGAACTGAAGGAATTGGAGTTAAAATCTAGCCGCTTTAACGAGTTAGAGGAGCGGTGAGTTTCTTCAAATGAAATTGCTCAGTAAAGTGACTTCACTATTTGAATGGCTTTCGATGAAGTATTAAATTATTAGACTGATTATTAAGGGTATGATTCTGTTTGTAAAGTTTGTTTATTTAGAACATGCTATTTATATTTTATATGATTTATACTTGTCTATCAAAATATTTGCTTGCTAATTCTTCCTTTGTTTTCAAACTTACGTGTATCAGGTATTGGCATGAGTTCAATAATTTTCAGTTTCAGTTAATTTCACATAAGGTGTGCTGTTGATAACCTTCTTCTTTAGGACATCGTTCCCTCTAGTTATTACATGAATTTACATTATTCTAGAGTTTGGAGTTGTCAACTGGTGATAATTTCTGCTTGTTGAGTGCCATTGAAGTTACTTAAATTGCTTTTATGCAAATCTCCCGGTGTGGCAACTACAGTGTTGTAGTGAACCCGTTAATGTTGAAAGGAACTGTGGTTTTCTTTTCTTCTTATTCATTTATGGATACTCCCGAAATGTGGATATATATATTAATGTTTTCATAAAATTGTCATTTGAGGAGAATCTTTTTCTTTTTTATGTTGCGCATGAAGTACATATTACTACCACCCACATTTTACCTTGATGTGGTAGTCCTAGCCAGATCTCTCATTCTCATCCATCCACCATTCTGACTATCTTCATTGGAGTTCTTTATTTTTTCCTTGATTGCTTTGTTTTTTATATGCAAATGTCTTATTGTGTTGTCAAAACATATCTTTGAAATGTTAACTTGGTTTTGGTCAACAGGAAGAGAGAGATGCAATTTTGGCCAAAATTGAAGTTTCACAAGCACATTTAGAGTCATTTAGAGGCATGTGCTTGTATCATTTAGAGTCATTTTCTTGTCTAGGATGCTAGTGCTATCAATGAATATATTTGTGGGGTTAAAAATTAATTAATTTAATTTTTCATCATCAATTACAATAATGACTTAAGTGAGTTGGTTATTTGAGGCTATCTGCTTGAAATTGATTGATCTTATGGGGACTCAAATCGGGTTCTCGGTTTGGGAGTTAGAGTCGAATTTCACTCTAGGCAAATTAGTTTCTTAAGAAACTTAGAATTCAAGGTGTTGATGCGCCAAAATCACCAAACGGCATCGAATTAGTACGAAACTTGGCACACACTACCGCCTAGGCACGAGAGACTTATGAGAGTAGACGGGACTCGAATCAGATTCCCAGTTTGGGAGTTAGGTTTGGATTTCACTCTAGGCAAACTAATTTCTTAAGAAATTTAGAATTCGAGGTGTTAATGCCCCAAAATCACCAAATGGCGTTGGAGTAGCACGAAACTTGGCACGCACGATTGTCTAGGCATGAGAGACTTGTGGGAGAAGACGAAACTCGAATCGGATTCCTGGTTTGGGAGTTAGAGCCGGATTTAACTCTAGGCAAACTAGATTTTTAAGAAACTTCGAATTCGAGGTGTTAACGCCCCAAAATCACCAAACGGCATCGGAGTAGCATGAAACTTGGCACACACGATCGCCTAGGCACGAGAGACTTGTGGGAGAAGATGGAACTCGAATCAGATTCTCAATTTGGGAGTTAGGGTTAGATTTTACTCTAGGCAAACTAGTTTTTTAAGAAACTTAGAATTCGAGGTGTTAACGCCCCAAAATCACCAAATGGCGTCGAAGTAGCATGAAACTTGGCATACACGACTGCCTAGGCACGAGAGACTTGTGGGAGAAGACGGGACTCGAATTGGGTTCTTGGTTTGGGAGTTAGAGCCGGATTTCGGTCTAACCAAATTATTTATTTAACTATCTTTGTAATTGTATAGTAGTTAAATTTTTATGTTTTTTTGTAATTAACATATTAACACATAATTATATTGTAATTAATTATTTTAATTTTTTGTTTTTAGATATTTCCCGAGTAGGAGTTTGCTTCTTGTGGAATGTATGTTTGTAAAGAATGCGACTAACTTTCGTTTTTGTTATTCACGGAGAATGATGATCAAAACTTTTAATTTTGGTTTATGTTACTTTGAATTATGAACAACATTATGTAGTGAGTAATTTTGTTGATGTGTAATTATGAATACAAGAATACTTTTATTATGGAGAAATTATTTTTTCTATATAGGAATTTTTATATTATCATGCAATTATTGATTTCGTTTTCAATTGTTTTTCATTTAATACAGATAATTTTAGTATTTTTAATAATTTTATTGTAGTTTTTTTTTTGGGCGATGGCACCACACCATTGCAAAAACACAGGTAATTTTAATATTTTTAATAATTATATTGCAATTTTTTTTTTTTTGCAATAGTACCACACCGTCGCAAAAAATATTAGAACCATTGGCAGCAGTGGCCATGCCGTCCAAAAAAAACAAAATAATTTGCAACGGCATTTTTTGTTGTTTCAAATAAAACTTTTAGCGACGGTAAAACAATGTCGTTGCAAAAGGTCGGACTTTTTTACATATAATATGCGACAGTAAATTGTCGTCGCAAAAGGTAACAATGACCGTCGCAAAAAAAAAGGCATGGCGTCGCTAAAGTGTTTTTGCAACGCCTTCTGTTGTGACCCTTTCTTTGCCGTCGCTAAAAGTTATTTGTCGTCGCTAAAAGTTATTTGTCGTCGCTAAAAGTTTTTGAGACGACATTAAGAGTATTAGCGATGGCACCGTGCCGTCGCAAAAACTCGAAATTTTTGTAGTGACCTACTTATTTGTTCGCCTATTTGTCCACTTATCCGTTCCACATGTCCACTTATCTGTGTGCTTTTACAACAACTTTTCCATCTAGTTGTCGGCAATGGTGGGCGACGATTGATAGTAGCGCTTGAGAAAAAGAAAAGGTATAAATAGAAAAGGAACAATAGTAAAATAAAAATAAAAATAAAAATTTAAACAATAATTTGTACTTCTCATCAATATATTTCATTAATATATATATATATATATATTGAACATATTTGGTTAATAAATTGTAAGATTTTTTTTATTTTTTATTTTTAGTTATGCAAATATTCAGCATGTCCTCAAAATTCTTTGGACACCAATTTTTTTTTTAAACTAATAATCAAAATTACAATACGTCATAATTAAATATTACAAATATCATAATTGAGATATGGTACACACCCCAAGAGGAGGTGTTTTATAGAATTTCCCAAGATGCTATGTAAAAAGAAGGAACAATGCATGATTATATATTGTTAGCAGTTTTTTATTATACTTAGAATTCTTGTATTCTTGTACACCTAAGTTTCTTTGCCTATAAATACAAGTTTCTCCTATTGTATTAATCCATTCAATACAATACATATTATTTCCTCTTTCTCTCTCTACTATTCAAACACGGTATTCGAGCCTAGGGTTTTCTCCTAACCTCCTCCTCCTCTTCTTCTTCTTCATCACATTTTTTTTTTCTTTTTTTCTTTCTTTCCTGTCTGGTAGATTGATTCCTTCTCATGTTGGTTTTTGCGTATCTCGTCCTTTCCTGTTTCGATGAATTGATTATACTAGCTTCTTCATCTCTTCAAGACGAAGCCAACACCATCAGAATCATCTCCATTTGCCGCCACACGCGCCTCTACGAGCCACCAGAATATCAAACACGCGCTGTGTCATTTCCTATGCGTCTCCATGCGCCTCTACTATTGTCTCGCGCTATCTTGCATCGCAGCCTCATCTGCTAACGTGAGTCGCGTGTTCTGACATCATTGCTGACGTCAGCCCTGGTTGATCGTGCGCCACTGCTACCTTCTTGCTATCGTGCACTGCGCGTATCTCTGCTAATGTGTGCCCTGCATTTCTGACTTTAGCCCCCCCTTGCTGTGACGTCAGCCCTAGTTTTGGTTCCCCTACTTGGTCAAACAACTTTGACCAATCGATTTGTCGCCTTTTTGGTCGTGTTTTTGGCCCGTTCAGATCATATCCTACCTGATTTCGGCCTCTTGAATCTACTGGTGTGTTCTATTTTGGCAAATTCAGCCTCTACAAAGCACTTTCTTCTTTTTTTTTTGGCCCTGTTTGAGCATTATGGATCATACCAAGCACATCCACTCTGTTTTTGTTATCCTTGATGGGTCAAATTATGTTAGTTAGACCCAAACTCTCCATTATTGGTGCTCTTCTCAAACCTAACTAGAAAAAGGATGAGACTGGCTCTACATTCGATGACCGTCTTGACGACTGGGAAAGTAAGAATTATCAAATTATCACATGGTTCCGGGCTACCTCAGTTCCCTCCATTCATCTCTAGTTTGGCCGATTCCAGGATAATGTTCAAATTGCTTCTCCTACCACAGCAATTTGGGATTTATTGAGGGACTGTTATCAAACCACTGGCCATGCTCATCAATATCAAATGTTGCAAACTCTTCATCACATGCGCCAGGAACTCAGTCAATCTATCAATGAATTCTTATCCCATATGTTGTTTGTTTGGGACCAGCTAGCTCTTTCTGAGCCTACCTGGGCATATTCTGAGGATGCATAGTTGTTTATTACTCATCGGAATCATCAGCGACTATTACAGTTCTTTATGGCTCTTCATAGCACTTTTGAGCCCGTGCATGCTTCATTGCTCCATCGTTTGCCCTTGCCCACTTTAGAGCAAGCCAATACTGAACTGTTATCAAAGAAGACTCGTTTTGGGACTCTCAAATCTCAGAATATGGATTCTGTTCTTGCTACGCCATCATCACAGAGTTCCTTATCGTCACAACTAGTCACAATTGTGGACTGCCAGCCACTCATTCTTTTGTTCAAGTCTACGTTCGCGAATGCTTTACTTGTCACAAGACTACTCTCGGTCATCGCCAACACAATTGTCCTCGAGCCCCCTCTAATACTTCATCCAGGAAAGGGTCTTCTCATTTTGGGTATCAGTCCAAATCTGGCCAAGGTTTTCACTCTGTTGTTGTTGCCTCTGGGGGTTCTTCTACTCACCACTCCATTGATTCCACTACTCTTTCTTTCTCTATGGATGATATTGAGTCCATCATCCAATAGGTGCTTGCCAAATCCAGTACTCCTCCCTCTATTGCTCTTTCAGTGACTTCAGGTAATTCTCCATGGTATTTTGATTCTGCATGCTGTAATCATATGACTTCTAACTCAACTATGTTTTCTTCTATATCATCATCATCATCTTCTGTCCCCATCATACACACTGTTGATGGTTCTCATATGATTGTTCATTACATTGGTCAAATTTCTACTTCCACTATGTCTCTTTCTGATGCTTATCACATTCCTACTCTTCAATTGAACCTTATCTCTATTGGTTAGTTGTGTGAACTTGGTCTAATTGTTATTTTTTCTACTAATGGTTATTTGGTGCAGGATCCTCAGACAAGATAGATTCTTGGGATAGGCCGTAAGCATGGACGTCTATTCAAGCTTACCCATTTTCGTATTCTCCACAAATCATCTACTGTTGCTTTCCACACATCATCTACTGTTGTTCCCATTGCTTCCTCTACTGCATCTACTTTTGCCATGTCTTCTTTTCACCTTTGGCATTGTCGCTTAGGACATGTCTCTTTTAGTCATTTGAAAACTTTAGTTTCTAGTGGTCAGTTAGGTTGTGTTCGTCTTGAAGATGTCGATTGTTTATTTTATCAAATTGTTAAACAACCTGCTTTATCTTTTAATAACAGTATTTCTATATCTCTTGCTCTTTTTGATCTTATGCATTTAGATATTTGGGGACCTTCCTCCACACCGACCATGGGGATGTCAAGATATTTTGTGATTTTTGTTGATGATTTTCTCGTTATACTTGGTTTTTTCTTCTCAAAAATCGATCTAAACTTAAACAGATTTATTTTGATTTTTCTACCATGGTTCGCACTCAGTTTTCTTGTGCTATTAAAATCTTTCGTTTTGATAATACTAAAAAGTACTTGGATTCTGAATATCTTTATTTTCTTCCGAGCTAATGGTACTCTCTCATCACTCTTGTGCAAGCACATCCTAACAAAATGGACAAGTCGAAAGGAAACACCGTCATATTCTCGACACTACCCGAGCTCTTCTCATCTCATCTTCTTGTCCTGAACAGTTTTGGAGAAAAGCTACCCTCAGTGCCATCTACACCATAAATCGTGTACCTACACCTGTCATAGCTAATACTTCCTCTTACGAGCGCTTGTATGGTTCTCCTCCTGATTACACCACTCTTAAAGTTTTTGGTTTTACTTGTTTTGTTCTACTTCAGTCTTATGAACACACTTCAGTCTTGTTTTGTTTTCTGGGGTATGGTATAAAACAAAAAAGGTATCGTTGTTGGGATCCTATCTCCAAGCGACTTCTTATTTCTAGTCATGTGGTCTTCTCGGAACACAAAATGTTCTCAAATATTTCCAAGTTTCACTTACCACAGTCCACCCACTCATTGATCTTTACTAATCTCTCTATATGCCTGTTTTTTGATGACTTTGATGCAGATTTTGACTCCATGATTCCACAGCCACCTACGCCTATTGTTCATCTTGAGGATCTTGTGTCTGTTAATAGCCCTACATCTTCTCCTGTTAAGGTTCCTTATCCACCAGAGCATCATTCCACATGGCTAAGGCAACCTTCTGTTCTTCTCCGTGATTATATTGTTGGTTCCACTGCATTTTCCTCTCATGAACCTTCTTCTTATCAAGAAGCTTGTTCTAACCCTCTTTGGCAACAAGCTATCATTGATAAATTGCAGGCTTTCAATAAAACTCATACCTTGGATGTGGTTAATCTTCCTCCTGGCAAGAGTACTGTTAGTTGCAAATGGTTTTACAAGCTCAAAACTCATTCTAACAGTTCCATTGAGCGTTACAAAGCTCGCCTTGTCGCTTGAGGGTTTACTCAAGAGTGTGGCATTGACTATGAAGAAACATTTGCTCCCGTTACTCGTCTTACTTTCGTTTGCAACTTTCTTGCAGTGGCTGTTACTCACCACTGTAGTCTTTTTCAGATGGATGTCAAGAATACATTCCTCAATGGTGATTTTACTAAGGAAGTTTATATGCAACCTTTTCCTGGTTCTTCTATTCCATCAAACAAAGTCTGCAAACTTCGTCATACTTTGTATGGTTTGAAACAAGCTTCACGTGTCTGGTTTGCCAAGTTCAGCTCTACCATTCGTGACTTTGGCTTTTCCTCTAGTGCCCATGATTCTGCCTTGTTTATACGTAAGACGTAGCGTGGTACTATTCTCATTCCCCTCTATGTGGATGATATGATTATCACTGGAGATGACCCCATGGGTATTTCTAGTCTCCAACAGTTTCTCCATCGCCAATTTAAGATGAAAGATTTGGATTTTCTTAGCTACTTCCTTGGCTTGGAAATTTCTCAAGATTCATCTAGTTACTTTCTTACCCAGGCCAAGTATACTTCTGATCTCTTGGCTCGTGCTAGCCTTACTGATTGCAAGATTGCCACTACTCCCGTTGATCCTCAAACTCGTCTTACACCTCTTGAAGGTTCCCTATTGTCTAATGCCACTTTATATCATCAGTTAGTTGACAGTCTTGTCTATCTCACGATTACTCGTCCAGATATTGCTTATGTTGTTCACATTGTCATTCAATTCATGGATGTTCCTTGTGCTTTACACTATGATGCTCTGATTCGCATTTTGTGCTATCTTAAAGGCACTCTATTTCATGGTCTTCACTACTTCGCCCAGTCTTCTCTACAGCTCCATGCCTTTTCTGATGCAAATTGGGCAGGGGATCCTACTGACCGTTGTTCCACTACTAGGTTTTGTTTCTTCTTGGGCAACTATCTCATTACCTGACATAGTAAGAAGCAAACTCTTGTTTCTCGTTCTAGTACTGAGGTTGAGTATCGTGCTCTTGCTAACACTACTCAAGAGCTTGTGTGGCTTCGTTGGCTTCTTTCTGATATAGGAGTTTCTCATTCTGTTGCCACAAATCATTATTGTGACAACCAGAGTACTATTCAGATTGCATATAACGATGTCTTCCATGATCGCACCAAGCATATTAAGATAGATTGCCATTTCATGCGCCAACATGTTACTAGAGACACTGTTTGTCTTCTCTTTGTTATCTCTGCTGATCAAGTCGCCAACCTCTTCACCAAAGCTCATCTTCCAGGACGTTTCTCTGATATCCTCGCAAAGCTCAAGTTGATATATGCCTTACCATCTTGAGCTTGAGGGGGGGGGGGGGATTAGCTGTTATCTATTATACTTAGGATTCTTGTAATCTTGTTCACCTAGATTTCTTGTACGCCTAGGTTTCTTGGCCTATATATACAGGCTTCTCATATTGTATTAATTTATTCAATAAAATATATATTATTTCCTCTCTCTACTTTTCTAACATATATATACACTGATACATGTAACTCAAACTCACATGGGTCTCTTGATATGGGGCCTTTAATGGGTTCATGTCGAAATTGTGCTTCTCCACCTTTGGCCATGGATGGAATCATCATTAGCAGAAATGAAATTAGGGTGAAGTACCAATAAATTTTAAAATATAATCTTGTGAATTGTTTAGTCTTTATGAATCCAAAGGTCCTATGAAAGTGAAAATTACGTAAAACGGTAGCCACTTACACGTTTGGATTTAATTTTTAAAGGATAAAAGTGGGTTTCTCCAAATGTAAAATTACACATTTAGGTAATCTACACTATATAGGTTTTGGATTTTCTCTCTTTCTAGAACAAATCTCACATTATGAACAAGAATGTAACACTCCAATATATCATTCAAATAACGTAAGACTCCAATATAATATACTAAAAAACTCATTAGTGTACTTTTTTCTAAATGTAACAACGTAACACTCCAAACTTTTTTCAAACGTAACACTCCAATATAACACATAAAAATATTCTTTAATGTACTTTTCCCAAATGTAACAACGTAACACCTTAAACTTTTTTTCCAAACAGAACACTCTAATGTTACACACAAAAAAATTAGTGTATTTTTTTCAAATGTAACACTCCAATTAATGTAATCTCAAACATAATATTTCAATGTAACACACATAAAAACACTAAAAAATTACTTAGTGTATTTTTTTCAAATGTAACATTCGCAGTTTGAAATTATCCAAAGTTTACTAAGGAATTTTTATACTTCTGGTTTGAAGAATCCAACACCAGTTTGGAATGGTTTGAAAAATCTTACATCCTTTTTTTGGAGTGTTACATTGGAGTATTATGTTTGGGAAATTACATGTTTCGGTTTAATTTTTTGGGGATAAAAGTGGGTTTCTCCAAATGTGAAATTCCACATTTGAGTAATCTACACTGAGAGGGTGATTTATGATCCGGAGTTGGGCCGAGGTAGCGACCGAGCAAGTTGAGAGCCCAGCAGTGCATTTGGCCGAGATGATCGACTGTTCACCCAGAGATGGGCTGTCAGAGCTTGGGCCGGGCAGAACTTGGGCCGAGCGCGTCCCGCCTCGGACCGTAAAGAAGCAGCTCGGCAAGGCAGTGCTCGGTCGGACCCGGTTGCTCGGTCCGAGGATAGCCGAAGCCAGACAAGCCGAGTGTCCGGTGCCCGGAAAGGCACGGTCGACTGAGGTTACCGTTTGACCGGCAGGAAAGCTGGTCACGGGGTGCTTCGGGCTAGGCTTTGCCGAGATGCCGCCTAGCCCGACCCCCCTTATATACTTTGCCAGGAAAGTGCTAGGGTATGGAGCACGGCATGGCATGACTACGGATAGGGCAGCTCGGCTGCCGAGCTCCAGCTATGATGACGGGCAGTTGAGGTTAGGTGATGAATGGCATGGTCTATGCTGACAGATGGGATAGTAGAGCCACGTGTCAGGAGATGACTGGGAGTGGATATGGGGCTCAGAAGGTATATAAGCATATCTGCGCCCCCCATACGCGACACACGAACATCCCTGTAAGAAATTCTTACACAAAAAACACCCTCTCCCTTCTTTCTATTCCCTCTAAGGTGTGTGCTAACTTGACCGTCGGAGGGTTTTTCTGGCCACACACCGTCGGGTAGCTCACCGTTATTTGCTCGCAGGTGATCGGATACCGACGGAGCTCGGAAGAAAGGAATACGGGCACGCCGGAATATTTGCTCCCCGTACATACACTATAGAGGTTTTGGATTTTCTCTCATTCTGAAACAAATCTCACATTACGAACAAGAACGTAACACTCTAATATATCATTCTAATAACGTAACATTCTAATGTAATATACTAAAAAACTTCTTAATGTATTTTTTCCAAATGTAACAACATAACACTTTAAACTTTTTTCAAATGTAACACTCCAATGTAATACACGTACACAACAAGAAAAAAAAAATTTAATGTACTTTTACCAAACATAACATGCCAATCAATGTAATCTCAAACGTAACACTTCAATGTTATTAGGGAAAATATATGATTTCCCACAAGTAAATCAATCAATGGGAATAAAAACTAATGGAGAAAAATTAAATCAATAACGACACAAGAATTACGTGGTTCCTTCAATGTGAGGTACGTCCACATGATTGAAATCCGGTTCCACTATCAACCAAAAAGTTTCCAAACGATTACAAACGAGACACGAATAGTTTCACAAACCACCCTTAGGTGAATTCCAAATAATCACAAATAAATAAGAAGAAAGGCCTCACCAAATAGATGAACAAAAGTCTTCAAAATAGAGTTGTAGAAGACCCAAAATAATAACCTAAATCAATCTCCAAGCACCAGTCGAAAACACACTGACAATGCTTCAAAGCAACCAAAGATTCAAAACCAAGAAAACCTTCCAAGCATCAATTTGAAACAACACCCACCGAAGAGAACCACGGTTGCTACTCTAACAAGGATAAAATAATACAAATAACCTATTGTTTTATTTTGGGCTTTTTATCAAAACCTTAATTATCAAACAAATTATTAAATATCCATTGGGCTTCCAAAATTAGGTTTAATATATTAAAATATATATTATAATCAACACCAAACCAAACTGAATATTTTAATAAACCAATTGGGTCTCATACTCCAATAAGAATGTATACCCAACAATTCACCCCCTACCTACTTAGGTGGAGACATCAACCATATTTGCCAAAGTTCGATACTTTAAATGTTTGTCCCGTGACAAAGTCTTAGTCAACATATCCGAAATATTATCATCTATGTGAACCTTTTCGAGTTGTAACAATTTCGAATCTAACACATCATGAATTCAATGATATCTCACATCAATGTGTTTCGATCTCGAATGAAAAGTTGAATTTTTACTCAAATAAATAGCACTTTGATTATCATAATAAAGCACATACCTCTCTTGCTTCAAACCTAACTCTTGCAAAAATTTCTTCAACGATAACTCTTTTTTGCAAGCCTCCGAATGGTAATAAATTCATTTTTGGTAGTTAAGAGAGCAACATATTTTTTTAACTTAGATTGTCATGCCATAGTTCCCGGTACAAAAGTCATCAAATATCCCGAAATAGGTTTTCTAAAATCAACATCACTGGCCATGCCAAAATCCATGAACCCATCAAGCATCAGTTTACCATTCTCAAAACACAAACACACATTCGAAGTCCCTCGAAGATACCTTAGAATCTATTTTACCACTGCCCAATGTTCTTTACCTGGATTAAAGAGAAAACGACTCACCACACCAACGGAGTGAGCAATATCTGGCCTTGTACAAACCATGGCGTACATCAAAGAACCAATTGTTGAAGCATAAGAAATTTTTTACATCTCTTCCTTGTCTTTCTTACTTGAAGGACATTGATTCGAACTAAGCTTGAAGTGACTTGTAAGTAGACAACCAACAAATTTTGCTTTATCCATGTTGAATCTCTCAAGAACCTTCTCAATGTAGCTTTCTTAAGACAACCAAATCAGCCCCTTTTTGCGATCACGAACAATTTTCATACCAAGTATTTGCTTTGCCGGTCTCAAATCTTTCATAGCAAATGAATTGCTCTGCTCCAATTTCAACCTGTTAATCATAGTATAATCTTGACTCACAATTAACATGTCATCAACATAAAGCAAAAGAATAATAAATTTGCTATTCGAAATTTTTTTCACAAACATACAATGATCCAAAGCGGTTTTAGAAAAACTATTATTCATCATGAAAAAGTAAAATTTTTTGTACCATTGTCGCGGGGCTTGCTTGAAGTCATACAAACTTTTCTTCAATTTGCAAACAAATTTCTCTTTCCTTTCTCCACAAAACCTTCTGGTTGCTCAATATAAATTTCTTCTTCAAGATCACCATGAAGAAATGCGGTTTTCACATCAAGTTGTTCAACTTCAAGGTTTATACTTGCAGCCATGCCAAGTACAACCCGAATAGAAGACATCTTCACAACTGGCTAAAAAATTTCATTAAAGTCATTACCTTTCTTTTGTCCAAAGCCTTTCACAACAAGTCGTGCCTTGTACCTTAGATTCTTGCCATCATTATTCAATTTGAAGATCCATTTATTTTTTAGAATTTTCCTCCCCTTAGGTAACTTCACCAAATCATAAGTGTGATTTTCAAGCAAGGAATTCATATCTTCTTCCACGGCCTTTTTCCAATCACCTTTCTTTGCATGCTCAATTGATTCTTGGTAGCTGTCAGGCTCCCCTTGATCGGAAATCAACACAAATTCATTGGGAGGATACTTTTTTGAAGGTTTTCGGTCCCTTGTAGATTTCCTCAACTCAACTTGTGGTGGTGGTGGTGGTGGTTCTTGAGTTGGATGTTCTTTCTTAATTTCAGATTCAACTTCATTAGGATTAGCATCATCCTCCACATCTTCAATAGGTGGCTAC